AGATGCCCCCAGAGCCCACTAGGTGAGTCTCGTTTCACCAAAGGACTGTCTGCCTTCTCTCTGCTGATTTTAGGTTGCTGCAATGAGTGAGTTTGTGTGTGGGCCCTTTAACACCTGAGTCTTTTCAGCCTTTGGCCAATAGCTATCTGGGGGTATCCTCACTGCAGTTAACAGCCAGCAAAGGCAAACAATAAGACCCAGTCTCAGTTGGGCTGAGTCTGAAGGATGCAGTATAGGCCCCTGCTCTGGACCTCACTCCTCCAGGGAGGGCTGCATACCTTAGGGTGGCTCCTGCCTGGCTCCGCTACTCCCAAAGGTAGGTTTTTCCTCTACAGTAGGAATATCTGCCTCTTCTGCCTTAGTCAGGACTGTCTCTTGTTGTGGGGGTTCATTTTTTCCAGTTTTAATTCCCCCCCCACGGTAATTTTTCCAAAAGTAGTTGTAACCTGGTTGTGTTTGTGGGAGGAGACGAGTTCTCAGTCTGCTTATGCCGCCATCTTGGTGAGATCTCCTATAATTTTTAATTGCTATATTTTCCTGGTGAATTGAACTTGCTATCATTATGAACTAATATTCTACTATCCACTAATGCTTTTTCTTATAACCTACTTTAGCTATACCACCTTTCTTTTAATTAGTATTTGCATGATACATAGTTTTACTTTCAATCTTCAGTTTTCTTATTTGAAATATATTTCCATATATCTCAGCTTACATTTGGATTATTTTTCCAGGCAGTATGATCATCTTTGTCCTTTAAGTGGATAATGTAGTCAATTAATGTATTTCTGACATTTTTGGCTTTAACTTTTTCTATTTGTTCCAGGTAGTTTATATTTCTTTTTCTATCTTTACTTGTCCTCTAATAATTTAATAGCTCCTCTAATTCCATTTTTCTGTTTATATTTTTAGTGATTACCTGGTAAATTACAACATACATACTTACCAAATGCTAAAGTTAATCAACATCTTTTATTTTCTTCTGGGACAATACTTCTTAAAAAAACACATTTTATCTCCATTTACACTCCTTCAACCTAAATATTATTATATGTACAATTTAAGGTAATGTTAGATGCTGCTATAAACAAGCATCTAAAATCTTAGTTGTTTAATACACACACATAGAGCCCAGTGCAGATACTCCTGGGTAGTGGGTAGCCTTCCACATGCTCGTGTTGAAATACTTACATTTTGTGCTCCTGTCCTTATTTACAGCCTTTCTATTAAGCTTACCAGCAGAAAGGCTCACACAGTTTTAACTGCTCTAACCAAGAAGTGACATACATTACTCCCATTCATATTACATGGCTTGATCTAAACATAACAAGGTCTGAGAAATGTGGTCCCTGAATTGGCACATGCTTTCCAGCCACAGCTGTAGATGGTGGTATCAGCCTATGACCCATTATTGTTACTTGTTTTAATTTAATCTTGTCTCTATTTTAATTTCATCACACACCATTATTATTGATTTATACAGGCCATGTTCAAACAATTATTACTTTCATTACTCTTCATTCTTTCTGAACCTCAGATCTCCCATCTGGGATCACTTCCTTCTGCCTGAAGTATATTTATAATTTCCTTTGGTAATATTAGACTGTTGGCATATAAGTGGAGGCAAAGAAACAAACAGGAAAAATGGAAAATAAGGTGATACTGTTAATTCTAAAAATATCAATAATCACAAGAATGCGCATGACTTAAACTGAAATTAATTAAAACACATTTTTATACTGAATAGGGAAAAGTAGTTCTAGTTATATGCTGTTTAGAAGAAACACTCCTGAATTGGCAAGGATTATATGTAGCTGCATGAGACAGAAAACTCAAAATAACAATAACTAAGAAGAAGAAGTTTATTTCTCTCTCACATAAAAGTAGCTTCTTGATCTTTAGGGATCTGGACTCTTTCCAGCTTCCTACTCCATCATGCCTGCATAATGACCTTGTCTTCACATGGCATTTTAAATAGCAGATTGGAGAAAGGCCACAAAGAAGAATGGGTACCATGCCTTTAAAGAAGCTTCATGGAAGTTCCAAATATTATTTCTGCTTACATCTCACTGGATGAAACTTAGAAAAAACTAGCTACAAAAAAGCTAGGAAATGAAGACTTCTATATGAGCAGGAGTATGCATATCTGAAACCTGAGGTTTGTTTTAAAAAAAGGATCAAATAGAAACTGGAAGAGGTATGTATAGAGATATTTATGAAATATTGTTTGTAATGGCAAAAATAGAAACAACCAAAATGCCCAAGAAAAGTGCAAAGGACACAGTGCAGCATATTCATATAATGAAACATGACACAACAGTGCAAAAAATTAACTAGACACAAAGGATTTTGAGAACAGTGAAACTACTCTGTATGATAGATCTAACTCTAAAATGTTAGATATATGTCATTATATATTTGTCAGAAGTCATAGAATGTACAACACCAAGAGTAAACTCTAATGTAAACTATGGACTTAGGGTAATTAGAATGTGTCACTGCAAGTTCATCATTTCTAACAAATGTACCATTCTGTGATGAGATGTTAATAGTAAGGGAGGCTATGCGTGTGTGGGAGCAGAGGGTATATGGGATATGTCCATGCTTTCCTATTTTGCTGTGAATCTAAAATTTATCTTTAAAAAATGTCTTTAAAAAACTAAAATTTCATGTATCAGGATGGATAAATCTCAAAATTACAAGTGGAAACAAAAAAATTCAAATTGCAGAATGACAGTATGATATGATTTACATTATGTCTAAAGCATAAGAAACAACTCTTGTTTAGAGATATGTTCAATTGTTGCAAAAGTATGAGTTTTTAAACAAAGAAATATAAAAGTTTTGTAAAAGTATAAGTATAAAAGCTTTGAATTCATCTCCTCCAATGATTCTATGCTACACCCTGCCTCAGTCACACATTCCTATAGTTCCCACCCTACTCCTTGTCAACAGACCTGTATCAATAAGTGCAACTCCTCCATCATCTTTGTAAAGTGCATCCCACATCCTGACCACCTACTTTCTTTCCTGATCACTCATCTAGGACCCAACTCCAACAATCCATGTACCCACCAGCATATCCAAACCACGGTTCCTACATTTTCACTGTTCCTGACTTCCTTAGTGACTTCTCTCCTTCCTTAACCAGTTCAAATTCTCTTAAAAACTTCCCAATTTCCTTGCCATCCTTTCACTTCATAATGACTTGACAAAAGCACAATACATCAATCTGCAAAACGCTGAGGTAGAAAGATATTAGAAATAGGATTTTATACCAAGCCAAATTATCAATCATATGGGGAGAGAAAGCAAAAGCATATTCATAACACCATAAAATACCATTTATTGATTTAATTTTTAAATCAATCTGTAGACAATGTAAAAAAGATCTATAAAATAAATTATAAATTTTAGAAATTGTCACAATGGATATGAGAAGTATACAACCATTTTCTATCTCTCCTTTTTCATAGCAAGTAATCAATGGACATTGCCTAAGGTAAATAGATACTATTTAAATAATAAAATATAAGTATTGTTAAAATGGTAATATACTATATATTATTATACATATCATGTATATATGATATAATATCTATATGTATAATTATATGTAAACATATAATATGCAATGATATAATAATATATTTAATAACATAAATATTAAAATAAATATAAGAATACATATGTAACAAATAGAAAGAGTGAGCTAAATATGTCTAAGATAATATTACCAATATCGTCTAAAGTTTATAAATCAAAATAGGGGTAAGAGTGTATATATTTTACATAAATAAATTTAGCTACCACAAGAATTTAAACAGCAATTGTAAATTCTTAATCCGAACTACACAAAGGGAATAAAAGAAAAAGTGTTACTATAAATTTTTGCTTTCTATATCTATAATTAAAACAACTGCACCATGTGAATGCATAAATTCTACAATAAAACTAAATAAAAGAGTATCAAATAAAAATATATGATGCAAAATGCCATCTTTGCAAAAATATAGAGAGGGAGCCACAGTCACAGAAAAAAACACAAAGTAGAAGATGTATATCAATCAAAATGTTAATAGTGGTTATAGCTTCCTGAATGGGAAGAAGCTAGATTATATGAATTTTCTTATATGTTCTTATATATACTTTAAAAAATGCACAAGAATAAGGTAAATTATTTTGTAATTTAAAAAATGTACAGGACTTAAACTTATTTTTAAAAAGAATGACTAGGGTAGGAAAATGTCTCAATGAATTACTTCAACTTTCAATGATGCATCTAATTGTACCAACAATTTATTTTTATATACATAAAATATTTTAAAATACTAAAAATGTTTAAAATAGACTGAAAGGTTTCTTTTAAATACTGTCATTCAGAAGTTTGAAACATTTTAAAGGATTTTTACCATACTTTTTGTTGTTTTGATTTTGAAACTATTTTATCTGTAAGACTATTTCTCCAATTTTATGTCTACAAGCAAAAATCAATTTAGGGTATAGAAATTTCTTTAGAGATAAGTTTTCATGATGCACTATTCTATATACTTAGGAATACCTGTGCATTTATGATATTTTTATTCCACTTCAACTTTCAACTAATTGCAACAAGACACTTGTTCTACAGAATACTCTTCCTTCTACACAGTTCAAATTTTTAATCATGGAAAATACACGCAATCTATAAATGTAAATATAAAAGTAAACTGTATAAAATATATGCTATGATGTTGGATAATTTTAACTTTTATTTTTTTCTTTTACTGAGGAAGATTCACCCTGAGCTAACATCTCCTGCCAATCTTCCTCTTGTTGTATGTGAGCCACTACCACAGCATGGCCACTGACAGACAAGTGGTGTAGCTCTGTGCCCAAGAACAAAGCCCAGGCCACCAAAGCAGAACACACCAAACTTAATCACTTGGCCACCAGGGCTGGCCCTGGATAATTCTTAAATGTACAAATATTTTAAATAAAAAGATTACATAATTACATACCAAAGCAATTCCTGCAGAATAATGGGTAATGCACATCTTTCCAGGAAACGTTGCTCCCACATAATCTGGATAATCTTTATAGCTAAATAAATAGGTATACATTTATAATTAATTTTGACAAACAATTCAAAGGAGAGAAATAATTTATCTGTAGTTCATAAAATCCTAGTCTAAAGCAAATTGGGGTATGATCTTTCCATATGTCCTTAATTGTTTGGATTTTGGAAGATATTCTTCATTAAACGAGACTAAGCACTCAGGATTTCTAAAACACACCCCACAGATCCAAGTTTTTGATGGTTTTACTGTTGTCATCACATTTGGTTAGGATTGCCAAAGACTTTGACCAAATATTTTGATCAAAAGCATTATGTTGAGTGGCAATGAAAAAGTTTTAATGCATGGATTAAAAATTTTCTTCTCATGTAAAAAAGCTCACCAGTTTCTCATAGGAATGACTTTATTGTTCTACAACTTAACATTATTATTTTGAGCAAGGGCCCAAATAAATTGTTATATAATAAGAGCACTGTTCTCAGAGACATACACAAATTATTGCATTTAATCCTCAAATCAAGCCAGTGAAAACAATGTTATTTTTATCCTCATTGAACAAATCAAACATCAGATGGAAACTATAAATAACTTTCTCAAGGTAGCATGATTAATAAGTGTTACTGAAGATTTTGAACTTGGGCAATCTGAATCCAGAGCCATACTCTCAATCACTAAGGTATAGACACTCTGAACATATTCTGCCATCTTAGAGCCCCCACCAAAACAAACATTCCAGAATGTGTGTAAAGAAGCTTGGTATTCAATTCTCAATTCAAAATGCTCCTTTGGTCTCAATAGCACTTCAGTTCACAATTGCACTGTGTCCTCTCTGCTGCCTTTACTCTAACTCTCTGGTATCATTTATACCTAACCCTTCCAGCACTTGTTTCCAAGTATTTGCTCTCGACACCCAACTCTGGCTTTCTAATTCAATGCCTAAGTATTGTTTACACTCTTTCTTCATCCAAGAGACTTCTCCCAATAGATAAGACTTTCCCTAAAACTCTAGGCATATTCCTAATAAGCTGGACTCAGTAATAGTTATTTTTTACTTAATACTGCCCACCCAGTCTCCACATCAAATCAGTTCTCAAGATCTACCCTTTCACTTCTTCCATGTTTCATGTATCCTTTCCCTCATCTAAAGTTCCAGCTCTAGTTCTAACTATGAATTCCATATTCTTTGAAAAGAACTCAAAATTATTTAGTCTCATGTCTCTAAGCACATTGTTTCCATAACCTGGAACGCCTTCCATATCCCTTCTCTGAATTTAAACATGCCTAAACTCTGCATTCCCACTTTTAATTTAATTAGTACTTGTTTAATTTGGGCTTTTCGTTATACATGACTTTGAGTCAATCTCTCTCTCTCTCCCTGTCTCTCTCTGTCTCTCTCTCTCTCTTGCTCTCACATTCTTTTTTCTCCTGTAAGCTATAAACAAGTAGAGATAATGCACTAACATTCATCTGTGGAGTAACATCAGCAAGGTAGTAGAAGGGGTGTTTTCAGCCCTCATCTCCCCACAGAAATGATTTTGACAACTACCCACGGATAAGAGTACTTTCTGGGAGTCCAAGAGTCCAGAGGAGAAGTCCCAGCATCTCATTGGAGGAAAAATCCAAGAACAGACACAATGAAGGAGGTAACAGTTTCACTTTACCCCAAGGCAGTACAGCTCAGTGCTAAGAGAGACACCCTGAGCCATGATTTCTCAGGGGAAGATGAGAGCATAGTCAGTGCCTCCAGCCATGTGGGATTCTGCACAAGAGGCCCACTTAAGTGTCCACTGACAGATGAATGGATAGAAAAAATGTGATGTATATATACAATGCAGTATTATTCAGCCTTAAAAAGGAAGGAAATTCTGCCATTTGCAACACAGATTAAACTTGGAGGAGATTATGTTAAGTGAAATAAACCAGACATAAAGACAAATACTGTATGATCTCACCTAAGTGAAATCTAAAATAGTCCAACTCATGAAAACAGAGAGAAGAATGGTGGTTGCCAGGGGTTAGGGGATGGAAGAAATATGGAGATGCTGCTCAAAGGGTACAAAGTTTCAGTTATGTAGGATAAGTAAAGTCCTGGAGATGTAATGTAGAGCATGGTGACTATAGTTAATAATACTATATTGCAAATTTGAAATTTAGTAAGAGAATAGATCTTAAGTGTTGTCACCACACACACAAAAAGATGGTAACTATGTAAGGTGATAGATATGTTAATTAGCTCAATTATGGTAATCATTTCACAATGTATACATACATTAAAACATCACATTGTAAACTTTAAATATATACAATCTTTATTTGACAATTTTAATTCAATATACACTATAAAAAATAAAAGTAAGGAAAATAAAGGTGAGGGAATTGAGGCAGAGGTGGCATTTGCCCTAGGTGACAGAGCTAAGTTAAAGGCAGGCAGTTGGCCTCCAGAGCTTAAATTCCGAATCACTATACTATACTATCTCAATAAACATTTGCTGTAAAATGTTAAAAAAAAAAAACCTTAACCTTGCAATGCTCATAGTACCTACTGTATGACTTACTCATACCAGATTATAAGCTTCTGGAATACAGAGAACATAGAAAATTATAATTAATTATTCTATTTTCATAGTACCTATTCTAGGACCTTCCTCATTGTAGATATGCAAAATATGTTGCTGCAGTAAAATAATACCAAGATACCAAGGAGTATTACTGAAGTTCTAGGATGCTGATTGTACCCTAATTTCTCCATTTCTAATGGGATAAATTCTCTTTCAGCAATCTCACTTATTAATGCAATCAAAGATCAATGTTCTATTAAAAAAATACATCACACCAAAGTGATGTTTCTTCTAGGAATGTGAGGATAGTTCAAGGTTGGGAAATATATTAATATAATTATTTGTTTTAAGAGAGTTAAGGAGAATATCTTATATCATCCCTACAAAAGCTGAAAGATCATTTTTCAAACTGTTTGTATAACATGGATCTATGGCTACTGCCTTAATATTATACATACACAAAGATATGGGCACACATGTGCACATGCACACACACACACACACACACACAAACATACATTTTAGCCCAAAAAGCTAAAAAGCATACTACTGAACAAGGTAATATTCCCACTAAAGTAAAGAAGAAAATAGACATGACCCATGTTACCATTATTACCACTATTTAACATTGTATTAAATTAGTCAAAGCAGTAAGATTAGAGAAAGAAACTGAAAATACAAAATTATGGAAAAAGAGATAAAACTACTTGTACTTATAGATGTTATGACCGTATGCATGAAAAACTAAGGTAATAAACTTAAGAACTATTAAAAACAATAAATTTCATAAGGCGGTAGGATATAAAATAAATACAGGCATACCTCAGAGATATTGCAGATTCAGTTCCAGACCACCGCAATAAACTGGATACCACAATAAAGCAAGTCACAAGATATTTTTTGTTTCTCAGTGAGTATAAAAATTATGTTTACACTATACTGTAGTCTATCATGTGTGCAATAGCATTATGTCTAAAAAATGTAACATACATGAATTTAAATTATATTTGCACAAAGACCAATAAAAAAATACACAAGTTACTAATAAAAATGGTTTGAGTCCATGGACCAAGAAGCAAAGGATGGAGGTGGGAGTGTGAAAGGAAGAATTTTCTGTAAAGATGGTTACATTAGTGTTAACTGCTTGCTATGTTGAGAACACTGTTATTTCAGGGAATGGATGTGATAGCCATTCTGTAATACATTTAGAAAAGTGCTTAAAAATGCATGTAATATATCAAGATGGCAGCATAGGCAGACTCTAAACTCACCTCATGCCACAGACACAACCAGGTGACAACAATTTTTAGAACAATTACCCCTGAGAGAGAACTGAAACCTGGATAAAAAGAATCCCCACAACAAGGGACAGTCCTGACTGAGGCAGAAGAAGGAGAAATTCAGGTCTGGAGAGAAAATCCCACTTTCTTGAGCTGCAAAGCTTCAGGGACGGCCAGTACACAGCTTTCCCTGGAGGAGTGGGGGGCCTGAGCAGGGGAGTGTTGCTGTTATAAGCATCCTTTGGACTAGCATGACAGAGAGGCATCTCATAATATCAGGATTTTCTGGCTATGAACTACAGTGGGGAATGCCCCTAGAAAAACTATCAGACATAAGTGGAAAACAAGCCAGCTCTTAAAGGGCCCATACAAAAATTCACCTATTTCAGAAGGCAACATAAACTCACCAGAAAGAAAGGTGCACAGTCCTTTGGTGAAAAAAGACTCTACTGATAGGCTCTGGGTGCATCTCGGTGAGAGGTGAGACCTCTCCAGGGACTGAGACATTGGTGGCAGCCATTATTGTGATGTAATACATGTGTGCTGACACAGATGCTGGCAGACATCATTGGAGTTCATACCCTGGCATGTTATCCCAGGGTCTGACCCACCCACTAGAGCACTGACTTAATCCAGCTCAGCCAGAGCAGGCAGCCAGCCCTAGGGACTGGCCCCAGCCAACAGCAATGCCTCAGGCAGCCTAGAAACCAGCCACACTGGGGACCTACACAATTAACAGAAAACTCCAACAGGAACATGCTATTAGACCTTAGCCAACTTTGCTGGGGCTCCCCAAACCTGATAAACTGAAGGATCCATAGCAGCCACATGCAGCTAAGCACTACAACCAGCTGGTCAGGGGGACAGCCAAGACTCCCTGGGCACCTGCAGCAAGAGCAACACTGCCAAAACAGGACACATGTAGCCCATATAGGGGCCACTCCTGGAACATTTGGAAGTGGTGACAAGAGGTAAGCATATTGCTAGGCCTCAAAAAGTGTGTCCTTCATAAGGCCACTTTTCCAAGATCAGGAGACATAGCTCACACACCTAATACATAGCTATAAGCAGAGAGAAAGAGGAAAAGGAGGAGGCAAAGCAATACATTCCAAGCAAGGGAACAGGACAAAACCCCAGAAAAAGAACTAAGTGAAACAGAAATAATCTACCTGACAGAGAGTTCAAGT